GGTCCTCAAGAAGAGGAGAATAACTGGTACAGGTAAACTTCAGCACACCCAAAAAAAAGGTGCTACCTTTACCAGCTTTGTGCTAAAAGAGACTATGGCAAAGTGGCCAAATATTAGTTAAAAGATTCTCAAAATCTAAAAATATTCATGCTTTAAAAAATTTTTGAAATGGAAAGATTTTTTAAAGTATTAAACCCTTCCTTATTTTCCCATGTTAATCTTTTTGTGTATTTTTATTTCTCTGGGTAGTACCACTGGAAACAAAAAAAAAGAAAAAACTAAAATATTTACAGGTTGCAAGTTCAATTAATCAAACATTTGAAGATTGAAATAGACAGAAGAGCTATTTAGTTTTGTGACTGCGTCTAAAAAATACCAAAACAATGAAAAAAATAATTACCTTTCTGGTGATGTTACATAAGAATCTAGTCTCCACCATTCCAAATTTTTTTAGGAAACATTATCTTCCCAGATGTTCTTCCAACTTAATTTAATCTAAACTTAACATAATCTTCACCTTGCATTGAATTTCCTTGTTAAATTTTTCTGGTTTATTCCATCAATTCATTTAACTTCTAAAGCTGCAGAAGTAAAAAACTTGATTTAAAATCAAAGATGTTTTTTGTAATAGAAACACAGACACACAAAAATTCTAACCTTTGGGCAACTTGGGAAAAATTTCCTTTACAGACAATCAAAAAAATTAGACATGATGCAGATCTCAGCCTAATGTCACCAAATTTAGCCTGATGTAATTGTAAATTTTGTTGATTATGATAATGAGATACTCCAGACTTAGAACAATCTGAATATGATTAGTGACATTAACGTTGCAGTTACCATCATGCCTATTTAATAGCCCAAAGCAAATACTAGCTATCCCCATGCATTTATGGGTAAATTCACATAACATGTTGTCTGAGATTACCTCTGTCAAGAACTTAAATATAATAAAATCCAGTGTTTCCTGTCAATTTTTTTCCTGAATAATGGAATCTTGCAAATGTATTGCTATGAGGACAAAAGCTATGTGGCCACCTACAGCTTTCTGTCAAGACTTTAAAAAGAAATACCAACTGTGTTATAATAAGAAATCAGCTTGCCGAAATATTCTGAAAAGCAAGAACTTCCAACTCACTGAAACTCTACTTAAGTTATTATATGCTTGAATGGTCCCTGGAACAACAGATAGCTGTGCAATTAATGCAAACCTTGTCATCCTTCTCCACCTCGCTTGTGTCTGCACAGACCAGTAATGAGGCTCCTTTAGACACAGAACGTGTGCAAAGCTCTGACAAACCACCTCAGTATTCAAAAAAAGCTGAGGGTAGCCGCAGGAAACATGACCACAGCAGCAAAAAATGTCGGTCCTTTCTATACTCACAGCTTCGTCTCTTGGAGTCAGTTTGCACTGAGGTGGAAGGATGTATGCTTGACTTTTGTTTAGTATCTGTCTCTAAGGGAAATATTTTCATCTTTGAGGAACAAATCAACAAAGTCAGAAGGGGAAAGTTTGTACTGTTTCATGGAGTACAGCTATTTCCCTCTTAAGATCTATCTTTAGTCAGGTGGAAAAATTACTGCCTGAAGTTTTCTGTTCAGATGAGAAAACATACCAGTAAACCATTTCTTAATCAATTCTAAAACAAACAAACAAACAAACAAACAAAACCCAACCAAAAAAAAAGGGGGCAAGCAAGCAAATACACCTCTTTTCTAAAATCGTTAAATAACACAGTGATGAAGTTTCTGAACAATTTAGTTTTGAATTATCCATCTTTAAAACAAACTTGTTTCATAGACTAATCACATGCTTTATTCACTCTCTTCTTGTACATCCCTTTTTATAGAACTCAATTTTGCAAATTACTCCACTGTGCAATTGACCTCACTTCTAGAAAATACTATCTTTCTTAAAAATTCTACCTTGGTCTTTTCAGTTTGAAGACATTATTCCCTATAATGCCAATATTAACCACCTTAAATAGTTCCTCCAGCAATTTCATGTTATCAAGTATTTATACAGTTACTATAATCTTTATTTCTTGAAAGAGGTTCATATAGCTTTGTAGCTTCATAGATTATGAAGCCAGAAGGGATCATTGTGAACATCTCATCTGACCTCCCTTTTAACAGAAGTCACCAGACTTCCCTGAATTCATTCTATTGGAATATCTCCTAGAATATTTTGATTTAAACATTTCTAACATTAGCGAATCTACAAAAATCCTAAGTAAGCTGCTCCACCAGCTAGCCACTCTTCCTGTGAAAATTATTGCTTCTTTCTGACTTCTGCAGCACTGGATCTAGTAGTAGGCATAATGTGTTTCCATTACACAGAAAAGCAAACAGTTAATAACACAAGAAGTAAGTGGGAAAATTCTCCCAATTTTGACTTGTGGGTGCTTTGAAATCCAGCTTGGCAAGACAGGGTTTCTTTATGTAAAGGAAAAAGGGTATCCAGAGGGGCTAGGCCAATTCTAAATCATAGAATCATCAAAGAACCCTTTGGGTTGGAGGGGACCTTAAAGATCATCTAGTTCCAAACTTCTTGCCATGGCAGGGACACGTTCCACTAGGTCTCTTGTTACTGATCCTGTGTCTCAGTTCATCTCATTGGTATATGCTAAATTGGTATGTGCTCATTGGTTGTGCTAAATAAAAAAATACCTTACTGATTTTGGGGTTCTTGTCTCATTGCAGGAAGAGACAGATGCATACAAGAATTAGTCATGAAAACAGTGCATTTCACCAGCCTAAAGGCATTAGAGATTTACATTTTGGCCTTCTCAGCACTCCCTTACTCACTCTTTCAGCAAGTCATCCAGCCTCCTCTGCATCAGCTCACTTGCCTTCAGTCAAACTCACTAACCAGACAGATGTGACTCAAAGACAGAGTAATTCATACATGTGAAGTGTTTAGTGAACTCTTAGGAAAAGATGTAATGCAGTGCTACGATTGCAGAGAGTGAGCTTTCTTCTCCTGTTTCTCACATTTGTTGAGACAATTTTCAGCTGGTGTTTCTTGATTTCCTGTGTGTGAAAAGATCATAAAGCATCAAGAGTATTTTTTATTTTTGTTCTTATTTGCAGCCCTTACCACTTCTCCTAGAATTGGAATATCTGTCTGCAATCATGTAGCATTACCTATTAAGAGGCATCTGAGTGCTGCAAGAATGGACTAAAAATGAAGATGATGCTGCAGCTGATACACACAATGGAACATTTTGGAGCTGTTTGTGCTTGTTTTGTGAAATGTGAGATCAGGAATTTCATACACTACAAAACATCAACTTGCTAAACACAAATCCTTCATAGCCAGAAAAGTCACTAACTATGTGAAACTGTGATCTAAGCAAGTTGATATGAGTAGAATGGAAGTAAGCCTAAGGAAGAAACTGGTTCTCACAGAGATGTAGCTGTATAACAAATGAGGGCTGTTAGGAAGGGCATACTCAGTTGTGCAGACAAATTCAACATTTCATCCTGTGTATGATTATAAGACAAGAAAGAATTTGGGGCATTAAAAGGAACATTTTGGAATTAAACAAACTCATTTCTCCTACTTGAAAACTTTAGATCCATTGCCTAATAAGTCTGCCTGCTGGAGGAAAAAATAATACAAGATTCCAGATGAATTTAGATTAAAATGACCTGGTAAAATATTTTCCAGAAAAAAAACCCCACATTTTGAATTAAAAGTTCTCAGATTCTTTCAAAGAATGACTAAGAATGTGATTCATCTGCCTCAATCTAACCTTCTGAGTCTGGATCTGAGATGGTCATCATCAGTTTCTTGGGATTAATATAGGAAAATGGGTGACATCTGGATGCCATTCATTCAATTGTAAGAGACAGACCTACAATAGATGTGTCTCTGGCTGCAGGGGGAAGGGCAAAAAAAAAAATAAAGGTGATTAGAAAAGGACCTTGTGATTTTTCAGTTATATTGATTGGATTGCATATAAAAAGACAGTGTGGGACATACCCATTTGTAAAATTTACCATATAATTAAGACATTTATTTTTTTTCTTGTGATGAATCAGTGCACATCACAAGATGTTAGCAGTAAAAAAAGAAGAAATGTATGAACAAATCATCCAGCTATCAGTTCCTGGCCATATATTAACAATTAAATGATAAGGTTATTATCTTAGGGAGAAATTCAGGCCATTTTCTTTATAAATCAGCATTGTCTAGAACATTGCTTGCACAAAACCCCCTGATTTGTAATGTTCAAGGCTACAATTCAACATCTTCCTAGAGATTCAGATTACAACTTCTTCAACTTTAATACTTTTAATAGAGTCTTAGGGAAAGTACTTCACAGGAGGAATCTGGAAATAATACGCCAGAGTCACAGAGAGTTACTTTGAATTGTATGAAACTGTTGAGCTCTAGTTGAAAATCCATCCAATTTTGAAGCACCCTGAGTTTCAAAGATTGTTGAATTATTTCTGGATGAGGAGCAGTAAAAGATTACCTTGGTTTATATCCTGAAACACGGATTTTACAGATGAGCATTGGGAAGTAAAAGTTTCTCTCTTGGGGAAAAAAACCAACACATATAAATCTATATATACATATATACATATACACATCATATATACATATATACATACATACATACATACATATATATATATACATACATATATATATATGTGTGTGTGTGTGTGTGTGTGTGTGTGTGTATACACACACACACACACACACACACACACACACACACACACACACACACATATATATATATATATATTCATTGACAGGTACTGGGCATCCTGGGTGCTACGAATACCAATCTAACTGTAGAAAATTTTTCAGTTCTCTCTCCAAAGCAATAAATAGATACAATCAAATTTACCTACTTCAAGCTTCAAGCTATGTTGATAGGTGCTGAAGTAGATATTGCATTGTCTCACAATTAAGAAAACATTGAATTTAATGATTTTATATACAGCACCCCCTTTTTTTTCTTTTTTTTTCTTTTTTCAGCACTAGATCTGTTGAGAGTGTGGCAATTAAGATTATATCCCAGATAAATAAGATGAGAGAGAGAGATTCAAAATTCTCAGCCCTCAAATCTCATGCATTGTCTGCTACTGTGCTAAGGGCAAATAATAATTTTATACGTTCTTCATTCCAGCCAAGTGGATTTTTCCAGGATTTCAGGAGCAGGAAATTCCAGATAATATCTACAGAAAAGAATACACATGTAAGAGGAAGGCATGGTGAGGGATAGAATATATTTATTGAAGCTCTAGCCCATTTTAATTTCCAGGATTTTGTCTACATGCTTTACTGATCCTGTGCTCAAAAATTAGACTTCTGTCTTTAAGTCTTATACTCCTGCTTTGGTTTTGAAGCTGTTACAAAGCTGGCAGCTTGAATGTGGCACAGCAATGCAGGTATATTTTAAAGTGTCAGAACTAATACTAAGCCTTTCACAGTTGCAAAAGAAATTTAATTTGATTTGAGGTGTGGACTTTATATAGAGAAACATTGCTGTAATCCAAATTTTTCATTAAATCTCTCTCCTTACTTCTTTCTTTCTTTTTACTCTCTTTCCTTCAGACTTCAACATACATGAAGTCATTGATGCTCATACTCACAGGCACACTCATACCTTGTTCTTTTCCTTTTCCAGTCCCTCTTATACCAAAAAGAATTGAGCCTTGTGATATCATATGGAACTAGCAACTTGATTTAAGATGACATTATGACACTAAAAAGAAGACCATAGAAATTCTGAAACCTTCTAGATAGTGTTTTTTGCTAGCTTTCAAAAAAAAAAAAAATGGCCCATTTAATGCTTAAGCATAAACCAGGTTGTGCTAAAACACAACAACCTGATTTGTTGGCCTGTGTTGTCCTGATACAATAATCTTAATACCTGAAGCTTTGATTTTGCATAAAGCAAAATATTCAATAAACATGCTGTGCCACATCATTATAGGGTCAGAAAATTAGACAAAATATAATTTGTTTGCAATGTTCATTGACAATGAAGGATGAGAGAGGGAGAAAAAAATTTCCATAATCAAAATAATGGTTTTTTTTTCAGAAGTCTGATTCTGTGATGTGTCTTTTCACTTCAGTGTTTTAGGATCTTAAGCAGAATCCTATCTTGAGTTAAAAGAAATCTGGCAAATTTCTACCTCTAGTCTTACACAACACAAAGTTCAGCATTGCCCCGACACAGTACTTTATAACATAGAATCATATAATCATAAAATAATTTGGAAGGGACCTTTAAAAGTAATTTAGTTCAATCCACCTGGAGTGAACATATATACAATGCATACATATATAAACATATTTCTTCATAGTCCCTAGGTTTGTTGATACTAAATTACACACTCTTTTTGAGAATGACATTTGGAACGAAGATGGACTTTTGATTTGTATCATGGAGAAGAGCCACACAAATAGAAGTATTCTTTGGTCTAACATATTTTTTGACTGCCAAGATAAGAAGTTTGCCTTTCCACTGATTTGTGAAATAACTTAGTGACTACTGAATCACTAAGAAGGCAAAGTGAAGCATTAGCCCTGAGCACATTACTACTTTATCGGTATTGTTCTTGCTTTACTTCCAAAAAAAGATTGTTCAAGTCTAAGAGTAAGGACATCACTATTGTTTGAAATAAATACGTGAGCAGTTTTCCAAAGTGAAAGAGTAGGGTAAATGTCTTGAAACTTTCTTTTCTCTAAAAATTATATTAATTCTTCTTAGTATGATTATATTGTATTAACCACACTGAGCTCCTGCTCCTTTGTTTTAATATCCAGCCTTTGTTATTAATAAGAAGGAAAAGTAAAAAAAAAAAAAAGAACTAGGTGTTTTAATTCTGTCTCAAGTCTTCAAAATTGTAATATTAGTTTTATAAATTACAGATTTGTATTAATCATACAGTTACCACTCATTAATCAAATTCATATTTTAAAGCCATGGAAATGGGTTTTTTTTCAAGTGTAAATTTAATTCTCAGAGAAAAGCAGAAGCACTGAAAAGAAAACCCTAAATCAGTTTGTCTGTAGATAATAGCAGTAAGAAAAGCATCTTCTTATTAGCAGCATCTATCTTGGCAAAGTTTAATAACAAATTTAGTGTCCATAGATGCTGACAGTTTATAGTTTGTTAATGAGAGAAGAAATTATAATTTATCTGTATTTCAAGCTGTCATCAGGTATCTTCTTGAACGATCAATGCATTTTAATACTCATTTGCAGAGAGAAATATATTTGTCTTCCAAGGATATGAAAATTAGCTAAGAAATCTGTGATATAAGGTTTTACTGTGGTTTCTATATCTTTTGTCATTACTTTCCCTCTTTATGTACATATATGTATATATATAAAAAGAAATTATGTGTATATATATATATATATATATATATATAAATTCTTTCTGTATATTCATACATACATATACATGTATACATACACACATGTTTAGGTGCACCTATATGTATTTGGATACAGATGCATGGAGCTGATCTGGGTCAACAAGTAGTACTGCAGTCTCAGCATTGCTCAGAATTAATCTCCCATAATAAATTTAATAAAATTAATTATACTTTTCTTGTTTCTACCTCCATGTGAGTATCCATGCACAACAGCATGTGTACATGTGTGTATAAAAAAGAATTTGCTTACAGCAGTCTGTGTTCAAGCTTGCTTACAGTTGAATTGGATGGGTCCTAGAGTAAAAAGAGCACTAACTTATCCAGGAACCACCCATGGCCCTTATAGTTGTTAAGTATCAATACGATTTTCTTGGAAAACATAAAGAGACAAAATGTTCTTTGGTTTCCATGCAGGCAAAAGCTTGTTCTTTGTTCCTTTGTTTGTTTGGTTTTTATTAAATACTCTCAGTTTTTCATTGGTTTTCAAATTGCCCTCCTTTTCCATCTATACTTCCTGCATTTTGCTTAGGCTGCCATAGGCAAATTTTAGCCAATACTGTGACAAAACATATCACAATAATCATGTTTCTGTTTACCCAAAGGCACCACATTTGTCATGTGATACACTTAGGATACCTTCCTCTGTACCATACCTCTGTACCCTAGCCATATATCAATCTTTTATTGAGGTTACAATATTAGGATTTTTATGTTGATGAAACACTGCATAAAGATTGTTTTTAAAAAAATGGAAAAAACAAGTTATATCCAAATTCCAAAACACAGTTCAAATTTTACATCTGAAAGCCATGTGTAAAATTTAAATTATGCAGTAGCAGTAATAATTATTATTCAAAATTGCACCATTTTACTTGAGGAAGATTTGGGTTTGCCACTCACTCTTTTTAGAAAAGTGTGTTCTGACCTTGACTTTCAAACTACTGTTAAGCAATTCTTTCTAAGCTTTTGCAAAGATCTCTCCTTTAGAAGGTCTAACACAAATATTTAGAGTTTTTTGAAGGCTGAAAAATATAAACAAGGGCATTTTCACATTTTAACAGATACAGTTGAGATAAGCAAGGCTTGGAAATAGCTTTTGCACAAATATAAGTGTTTTGCCTTTTCACATCCCTGTCCCATTTGAGAATAAGTAGCAACAAAAAATGTTTCTTAACACCCAATGGTGTACTTAGTGCTGGTAGAAGTATGTGTCTTCTATGTATTTATGGTGAGAAATGTCAGTATCAAAGTAATTGTGACAGCTCTTATCTTTGCTCTGTTGGGCTTCATGTGTATTAAAGCTGAAAGCCAGCTTGCTTTTTCTTATTTTATGTCTGTTTTTTTGCAGCTCAGACTATTCAACCATCACAACAAGGTCGCACAAACACATAGTGGATTTTACAAGTGGAATCATAAGAGTTTGGCCATTTACCTGAAATGAACCACACAGGGGCATTGACTATTTAAATATTCATATAAAGAATACAAAACATGAGAGTTGCAGGACTGGTTCAGATGAGGGATTCTCCTTACCTCTATTGCTTCTCTAATTGTGACCGTGAAAGATGCCTAGGGAAGTGCAAAAGAAGTATGAGCAACAGGATATTTTATAATTAAACTACATGGAAGTTGCCACTATCCTGGAAAATATTTGTGCATATGGTTCATAATTTCTAAAGGTTATATTCAGCCTGCATATTAGGTTTTTATTCACTGCCCAATCATTGACTGCTTCAGTGGCAACATTTTATGAAAAAATGAAATTAATTAATCAAAATTGAAATGTCTTCAAAAACATTATTGGACAATGCCACCAACAGATCAGTTATTTTGCAGGCCCTTAGAAATAAATAAGATTCTTATCATGCAACTGCAGGAGTGCAAAGTCAAAACCTGCCATCCGACACCAGAGCTGTGGTAATAATTCAGGAATCCCACAATGTCTTTGCCAGCATAAATGTGTCTGAATGCTTCTCTATACACATACAGAAGTCCATAAGTGCCAGAAGCAGCAGCTTTGGGTGAATCTGAACTTGGAAGGGATGACATCTATGTTGTCCTATGTTGTCACCATGCACTAATTAAAGCAACAACAGTGACATCCACATCTATAGCCTTTTTGTTTAAAGGGCTTTAATTAAAGGGCTAACCTGTAAAACTGCTCTGTGAGGATGACTATCTAGTCTGGATAGATTTTTGTCACCTTTATTTTTCTCAGTCTTCCTCTGTCTCTATCTCTTGTGCTTAGTTCACACATGGTTCTCCACCACTTTGGCTAAGCAGTATTTTGTCACAGTTAGTCTTTTTAGGGGAACATCAATAATATCTGTGCCTGGCAGCCACTGAACATCTATTTTGAAGGGCTAAACTGGCTTCCCTAGCAGAGAACCCTCACCTAGGGTCTCTGTGCTCCTGAGTCCCACCAGCCAGTCACAGCTATATATCTCCTTTCTGATGTTTTACTTAGGCTAAGGCCTTGTTTACTTTCCTACTGTTTCTAGGTCTGCCTGGGAACTCTGTGTAATACCAAAATATAGAAAATTAAAATAATGCTATGGAATTGATATCACTGTCAGTTCTTAAAAACACTTTTCGGTTAAATCCACAGTAAACTATTAGGCAAAGGAGCAAAGCCATTTCTATAGGATGAGTGTGATATTTCCAAACCTACTCTGTTGTTATGCAACAAATAAAATAGGGACTGATTTATTGCAGTGCAGTTTCTGGGGTTTGTATCCCACTCATTAGCACAACTTTGTGCCCCACAGCACATTACATGCACTGACTTCCTAGCTTCTTCCTCTCCATCTTCCCTAATTCAAAACAAGGATGTGCTCATCTCTGACTGCAGTACAGTTTTATAGATTTTTAAGTCTGAAAAAGATCATTCTATTATTTATTATCAGATAGTTAGAATGTCATTTAGATTAGCACATTCTGGGCTAGTACGTGCTAGAGAGTCTCACTCTCAGAAAATGTGTAAGAAAATGAAAATACTAAGTAAGTTTCTGCAAAATCCCATTTTTAATCTGTACTGCTAGAACAAAATTCAGTTCAATTACTTATACAGGGTGAATGGAGAAGGGATTGAGAACAGCCCTGCCCAGAAGGGCTTGGGGGGTGCTGTGGGTGAGAGGCTGCACATGGCCCGGCCATGGCACTCACAGCCCAGAGAGCCAAACGTGTCCTGGGCTGCATCCAGAGCCCCGTGGGCAGCAGGGGAGGGAGGGGATTCTGCCCCTCTGCCCTGCTCTGCTCTGGTAAGACTGTAGTGGGTCTATCACTAATGGTCAAATGCCAGTGCACCCATAAATAATAGAATTACTTATTCATTTTTTCCTGTGAGATAAGGATTGGGAGACAGGCAAAAGTAGGCTCAAAACTTTAAAGGCTATAAAGAAAGCTTTATTAACAGAACTAAAAGAAAAAATAATAGGAAATAAGAATAAACGTTCAGAAAACTTATCTTCCCTCCAGCTCTTTTTTTTCCCCACTGACAATGTAAAGAGAAAAAAATTGGTATTTTCAGTCAGTTCACCACCCCTAAAATAGTCTGTCGTCAGATTACTTAGGGAGGGGAGTCTCTCTTGCCATGCCATGGAGACTTTTCCACAACAAACAATTCTCTCACAGCTTTAATTTTCAGGAGTAGCAGCAACCTAGAAATCTGCAGTCATGAGATTTACCTCCCACGGTTGGCAGTCTTCCCACAACTACCAAACACAGGTCATCTCAGCTTATTGGGGTGAAATTTTAAGGATGAGCTGTTTTAGCACAGAAAAAAATTTTTTTTCTTCATCTATTTCTAGGAACAGAGGTTTTCTTTTTCTTTTTTGGGAGTAAAGGGTCTTCATCACTCTTACCTGTCTCTGTTCAAGCTTCTCATTGGATCACAGTTATTTCAATATCTGTTTGTTTCCTCACAAGTGCCTTTGCTTATGTCTGTGGTATGAATGTTCCATTCCCCCATACTTTCATGAATTACAGAGATATTTTAGTGTATCATAGTCTATTACCATGGCCTTCCAAAAGAATTTCAGCTCAAAACTAAGGCATCTCCTAATTTTCCACCCATCTGGGAAAATGACTTTTTCTTCACTGACCTCAGTGCCTCTATGTTCTTTTCTCTACACATCTTCACCCTTTTCTCTTACTCAAGAGAGGATTGATGTCTGTAAGTTTCATCCATTCACTGAAAAAGTTAATTTCTCCCCTGGGCCTGCAGATGGTCATGTGATTTCTGCTGGGTGCAGCCCAACCTCCTGCTGATAGGATTGGAGCACTCCCTCATTGCAAAAAAACAGGGAATGAAGAGAGAACTTTTTCTAGTTTTCTCCTCTTTTAAATATGCCTTATAGTGGTGTGCAGCTTCTCCAATTAGTTCTGTCAAGCACAAAGGAAGTTGTAATATTTCTATAGAGATGTTCATTTCAATAGTTGGCCTTTTTTCTTTACCAATAATTCAATTAAGGCAATCTCAGGACAGAGATACACATGGAGCTCTGCATCCAGCTATGGAGCCACCAACATATGAACATCTGTACATGGAGCAAATCCAGACCTGAATCGTGGACCTGAACATGGAGCAAATCCAAAGGAAGCCATGAAAAGGTCCAGCGGATTGGAGACAGGCTCCTCTACTATGGAGACAGGCTAAGAGATCTGGGATTGTTCAACCTGGAAAAGACCCTGGGGAGACCTTCTAACACTTAGTACCTAAAGAGAACTGGAAAGAGACTTTTGACAAAAGCATGGAGTGATAGGAGAAGGGGAAATTGCTTCAAACTGACTTCTAATGGCTTCAAAGGGGAAAAGTTTTCATTACGTCTTAGGAAGAAATTCTTTACTGTGAGGTTGGTGGAATACTAGAACAGTTTGGCCAGATAAGTTGTGGATGCCCCATTAGAACAGTCTTTTGTGGATGTGGTAACAGAAAGGCATTCCAATTTCTAAGGACCTTGTTGTGTAACAGTTTCTGAACTACTTATTTATATTGTACATCATTTTGGTGATTGAGCAGGAAATGGTGTGTCTTATGTTCATGTAAGATAGCTCTCTCTCAATAAGTTACATTAAGTTAAAATTTGCAACATCATAATTTAAAAAAAACCCTTAATACACAGTTTTCCCACAAAACACCATCCCTTCAACTACTTCTTTCTCTCTCTCAGGAATAAGAGAAATAAAGGTAGGTCAGATTCACTTACACCGTTATTTGTAGCAAGTGCTAGTTTCTGCTGAGTGGATATTCTGTGGTTATTTAACAGTACATTGATTCTTTGAGCACAGGTGGCATTAGTACACCAAACTAAGAAAATGTAAATGATGAATGTATTTGTAAGTTGTTATGGTATTAAGATCACAAGCTAAGAAATAAATACCACATTATTGAGTCATGCTCTTCCTCACAGTATTGAGTCATACTCCCATTCTTATGCAATTAAATGATAAAATGATGCAGATTATGAAGTGCTAAAAGGAAAACCAAAAAACCAACCAAACAAACAAAAACCAAAAAAAAATCCCAAAAAACAAAAAACATGCAAAAAAAAAAAAAAAAACCAAACAATGATTGCCAAAAATTCATAACTTTGGATGTTGTAATATTTTCTGCATTGGTGGACAATCAGGAAATTACAGTAGTTATAGATATATTAGATTAGTTAGAACATCTGTATATCTACAAAATCTAAAGAATTTTCCTTCCTTTTCATTTCTGTTTCCCTTCCTGGAACTTCCGGGAATATCCCTTCCCTTTCCCAGTAGTATGTGTGTCAAAGAAAGTGCATCTCACATATCTCATCCCTTGCATACACACTTACACACACACACATAAATAAATAGAATTGCGTATATAAAAAGTGTTCAAGGAAAAGGTTGTGCTTGCCTGAAGGAGAGGCCAGATGCTTTGACTTCCAGCTTTCTTCCATCAAAGCTGTGTGGTTTCGAAATTAAAATCTGCAGCAATAATGAAACATATTAAAATGCATGCAAAGTCTTGAGGGCTTATAATATGCTAAAAACTGGCAATGCATGTTTACATCCATATATCAACTTGGATGTGCTGAAAAGATTGAAAGTGTAAAATATGCAAATATGTGTCATATTGTCACACTTGGTCTCCCTAATGGAACTCCCTTTCATCTCAACTCTCCTTAATTTCATGAATATTGCATGCCCCTCACACCTTTTACTCCTGCTGTTGCTAGGCTGAGAAGATTATGAAAATATGTTAATAGTAACTTTCATCAAATAAAAGTTGCAATATTGAAAATAATAAAAAAGTATCCTAAAATACAAATGGTTGAGATTTTTAGCTAATTTTTCCCCTCTGGAAGCTCAGATAACTACCAGCCAATTAAATTAATAAGGAAATAGTGGGGAAATTATAAAAAAAAACTATGTATGTAAATTAATGAATTAAGCAAATTTGTGTGTGCATGTGCATGTAAACATGACAAACATCTTGAGAAGTCTTTCTAGACAAAGAACCTCTGAAGGATTTTGACATTGTGACACTTTTGTTGGAGGGGAGGGGAGGGGGGGAGGGGGGGGGAGGAGGGGGAGGGGGGGGGGGGGGCGGGGGAGGGAGGGGAGGGGAAGGGAGGGGGGGGGAAGGGACGGGAAGGGAAGGGAAGGGAAGGGAAGTTTAGGGAAGGGAAGGGAAGGTCAGGGAAGGGAAGGGAAGGGAAGGGAAGGGAAGGGAAGGGAAGGGAAGGGAAGGGAAGGGAAGGGAAGGAAGGGAAGGGAAGGGAAGAAGGGAAGGGAAGGGAAGGAAGGGAAGGGAAGGGAAGGGAAGGAAGGGAAGGGAAGGGAAGGGAAGGGGAAGGGAAGGGAAGGAAGGGAAGGGAAGGAAGGGAAGGGAAGGGAAGGGAAGGGAAGGGAAGGGAAGGGAAGGAAGGGAAGGGAAGGGAAGGGAAGGGAAGGGAAGGGAAGGGAAGGGAAGGGAAGGGAAGGGAAGGGAAGGGAAGGGAAGGGAAGGGAAGGGAAGGTTGGGTAACCCTTGATTACAGCTACTGTAAATCAACCGAGATTTATTTTATTGAGGCATATTTTTTTAAAATTTTATTTTAAAGAGTTTGCAAAGAGCAAACTTTTCATTGATTTTCATTATCATTATTCAGTGTTTTCCCCGTTTTCCCCAAAAATTCAATCCATTAACTTTCACATCTTATTTCCAGAAACTTTGAAAGTTTTACTTTTCCTTTTTTTTTTTCTTTTTTTTTTCTTTCTTTTGGCTGAACCACTGGAAATCTTAATAGACCTGCTGATGTTTGAAATGTAAGTGTCCTTGAAACCATATACTTGAGTTCTGTAAATCTAAAATGTTGGGATATGCAGACTGGGTTACATGAATAAAGCCATATGGATTAGACAATGAAAGCATCGTAAGCACTTCCGTTGCAATTTAGTGTTTTTACTCTTCCTTAACTAATAATAATCCCATGGGTTGGGTATCTCAGAGTAGTTGAACTGGAAGTTCTCAAAGTACAGGTTCCCAGAGAGGGTATTGTCCAAGCACTCTACCTGTAACTCACTCTGGGGCTCTGACAACAGATCAGACGTTCAAACTGACACTATGTCTGCTCTTAAATTCCCTGGAAAAGTCCATCACTTATTTTCCAGTAGGGATCTGGCTTAGACAATGACTACTAGAATTCCAAAACTGGACACTGACTTAGCATCAGGGGTTCCCATTCAGACAGAATTTTAATTAGTTGTCACTAGGACTAGGTCTGCTTGCTTAAGCTGCCTGTGGTCCTGTGTATGATCCAGTTTTGGTAAAAAACAGTCCTGTGTCATCTGAAGGGATGAAGTGCAGCCTTTCTTCTTCACTGTTGTACCATTTTTCTTCCATTCTTTTGAGAGTTCTCATTGCTGGATTGAATCTCCCTGGGTTGCTGCAGCGCATTTCTGATCTTCTAGTTAAATCAAAACTACTGACAGAGTAAGGAAAAGGTGCCTGCCTCTTTCTCCCCATTAATGCTGTCTTCTGTTTATCTGTATGTAGAAAAGTCAACATTTGAAAATATGTGTGATTAGAGGGCATATGTATTCCTTTAAGAGACTTTATTTCTTAGCAAAGCTTCTGAAGAGACTACTTCTTTTAATTTTTCATAAAGTGTAGCTTATGAAAAATTTAAATGGAATCATTTAGTAGTGATTGCTCCATAAACACGACATGAACTCCTTTAAAATTCCAATTATATAGGATCTCACCTTTTCAAGTGGTTTTGAATGAAAATAGCGAAGTTCAACTATGCTCCTTTCAGATGGATGGGGTGTAAAACCCAGGGCTTGACAGATTTCAGCCATTAGAAATCTGTGGTTTTCCTCACACACCTTATGCAAATACAGCATGTATAGCCAGATTATCTGGCTAAATTCCAAATTTAGTAATTACATTCTATCTACTTAAAATGATCCCATCACTTTCACTTGCAGGCAACATTCTTCTTCCTTTCCTCCCTTCTGATCATGACATGTTCCACCATGGAGTTAGTGGCATTTTGCTGGTTGTTGAAAAAAGAATAGCCCTGCACTTACACACTTATAGGAGACAATAGGAGAGAAGCTGACAACTTCACAGAGTGCTGACAGACAGATATTAAGTTATGGTATCATGATCAGTGTAAGATTTAGGTAGAGAGCACAGAAACATGGTTCCACCTGAGTCAATACATTTCTAAAATAATTTACCTTTTAGAAGATTAAATTGAATAGATTAAAAAACACGTCTGATCCTGACCTACATGAAACATGAAATGTGATCAAATCTTTCAAGGTAGACCAGCTAAACACATGGCAAATATGACCAAAAGCAGGATATTTTACTTCACTGCCTTCAGGAAGAAGACTCTTGTATTTAACTTCAGGCATATACTCTGTTTTTTGTGAAAAGTGTAACTTTCTGGAACAGAGAAGTTAATTTCAATTTTTCTGTGAGAGCCAAACTCATTCTAATACTATTTAACATCTCAAAAAATAAGTTATGTGCTTTTAAACACAAACTTGCAGTAAAGTTTCAGCATAAATATTTCTTAATTTGAGCACAAATTCATGTTTTCTATTGGTTTGACAGTGTATTCAGTAGCACACCCTTTATCATGGTTTTGAGTACATTCACTGTTCCTGAGAATAATTGCCCTTTTACTAACATATATATAAAGAGAAAATTCAGAATTTTGTACTAAACCAAACAAAAAGTAGATAGATAATGTTTTCTCAGATTTAGAAATCATACTGGCAAACACATTTTTCTATTATTCAACAAGCCTGATTTTTAACATATATTTCTGTCTGTAGCATAAGCGTGTTACCCCTTGCTCCTCATCGACTAGGGAGGATAATTCATTCTTTCTCCTTTGGCAATGTCCTTTACATATTTGTGGGCAGATATTCTATGTCTCTCCTCAATCTCCTTTTTTGCCAGACTGAACATGGCCAGCTCTGTTAACCTTTCCTCAAACTGGAGGTATTATTTTCCAGTCCATTTTATAATTCTCTTTCTCTTCTCAGAATCCATTCCAATCAGTCTTTTCTTTTTGAAATATAGTGCATAATGTTCCATTGTGGCATTGGTTTCCTAAAAAATAAAGAGGGAGAAAGAGAGGGAAAAAGAGGAACATGTCAACATTTGCGAGCTCAGAAGTGAAGTTCATTGCAATTTAACTGCAGGGGCTCAACATGCCTGAAAAGTTTCAGGACTTGCCTTTTGTGAAAATAGTATAGATGTGATTGAAATCAGTGTGTTTATATTATAATGAAATGATTAAAAATATGCAGATAGTTTCATATATTTAACTTTTTTATTTTTTTCACTACCCAGTCTACATAGTACCTCTAATAATGCATGTAAGGTTTTGATCTTGCAAAGCCTAATATAAATGCCCAATTAACCATGCTCGTCTTCCTGGACTTTTTATCCACCATGTGAGGAAAGGCTATGAAAGTTCTTGGACCAACATAACATGCAGGCCAATCCTGTAATGGAAAGATTATTTTCCTAGGATCCTCTAGATTATTTTTTGCTATAGTACTCCATAAGTACCATTCACTGAACTTGTCTTTATAAAGTGTAACTAATGCTTTTACCTCTTATTTATCTTTTAAAAATTCTTTTCACTGATTTAATGGCATTCCTTGACATATCCAGGACTGTAATGCATTTTCTTTCCAGATGAGATTCTTAGAAGATAGTAATTACCTCCAGAGGAAGTTAATGCATTCTGTTCCCCAAGTTGCTAGCCAAAGCCCAGGACCTCAGGGAAGTTGCCTGTGAACTTCACACTGTTTGGCAGCAAGTGTCAGACACAGTCAAGTTGGGTCCACAATTCCAGGCACAGAATAGATAATTGTCTGGGCAAATGTCAAATGGTAATTGTGTGTGTACATAATTATCCAATCTGCACATGTAACCCTCTTAATGCTTGCAAATTAGGCATGCAACTTCATCTACAAGTTACTTGAATGTGTTTTCACACTCATCTAGCTAAAAAGTCAGACATACAAACTATAATAATTATGCTATTGCTGTGATTCTGCTCTCGATTGTGAGAGTGTAGATTTCACATTTTCATTCAATGACAATTCTCACAAAGTGTATAAAAGTCTTTTAAGTTTGAGTAGAATCAGGCGCTCAGATTTTAGTTTCATTCTCTGAATTTTAGATGCACTATGGAAATAGCAAGTCGATCCTGTTTAAAATGTGATTGAAACCATCACCTGTTAAACTATTTGTTTCTTTCTGCATTGTCTGGTTTAAGCCAGAGGAAAATTAAAAAATATATTTATGCTATGTGCTGAGCTTTAAGTTATTAAGCCCCCCAAATCAATGTATTCATACTTTTTTCTTTACTTTCTGTAATCCTCTCTGCTGGACCTAGGAAAATAGACTAAAACATTTCAGCTTCTGTTTACACTTGTAATCCCCTCCTCATTCTCATTCAGAGCACTCATAGACATGCTGATGGAAAGTCCATTGAAATCCACCGAAAAGATTTCCTTTGACAGAAGTGATCACTGGATCAGGACATAACTTGCCCAGACTGCCAGGGATTCATTCTGTTCCTTGTCCAGAAAGACAGAAAAAAATAGTTTTGTATTTGCTTATAGGGCAGGGAAGAGCATTCCAGTGCATTTGAAATGTAATGTTAATTAACACAGTACTAAAGAAGACAAATTTGCTGACCTGGAGTCCCACTGCTATGCTTCCTCCAAATCTCAGAATATAACTGTCCTTTCTGAGTTCATATGGACTGTCTCATGAGTTCTCGGAAATGAATTCAAAATGTTCCCTCACACTTCTCCTGGCAGACTCTTTAAGAGTGTAGATTAAATTTCATCAGCCTTTGCTGATTTGAAAATGTTTATCCTATGTTCTTTAACCCAGGCAACCTAATTCTGCCTCATGGCCTCTTTCTCCCTTTGTTAACTATTATTGCCTTTTCACTGACAGCTCAAGCATCAAACCCATCAAACATTTCAGAATTCTTACCATCTATTATCTGCTTCTTCCCCTTCTGCTAAGTATCAGACTTAACATTTTCTTTTGTCCACACTTCACTTCTTAGACTCTTGGAGAACTTTTTCTTTATCTATTTTACTTCCTTTGCTAATAGCAGCTCATTTTGTGCCTTTGAATTTCTGACTTCCGTTCTTACGTGTCCTTACTTCTCTCCTGTAAGGGACCCTGTGTCAGAGACTGTGAACCAATTTTCACTGTGCTGTTTCACATTTGAATGGAATGTTAAATATTTAAATAGCAAAGTTCTTCTTGTGGTTGTTAAATCAGTATTAAGTGATAGTCCGAGTGAGTATTCAGGGAATAGAAGGATCCTCTGACTCACAGTCTCAAGGAAATTGCACTGGGGCCAAAAACCTTTTAAAAGGGGAGAAATCATACTTACTTGAAGATTTTTATACTTTTTTCCCCTACAGGCAGCTTTGGTGTCAGTTTTTTCTTTTCTTTGATAAGTAAATAGCTAGTTTTAGGGTTTTTTTAGATTAAAATAATGTGGTTTAAAATAACACATGAAGAAATAAATTTATATTTTTTTGTTTCTCAAAATTTTCGATTAGATTATTTTATTGCTTCTGTTGAGATCCTGAAGCATTCAAAAATTGATAGGAAATATAATTTGGAAATATTTTAAATGAAAAAAAAAGTTTTGGTTTCCATTTCAGGGCAAGAGAAAAAAATGTTATGTGCTTTTTTAATATCTAGACTGTTATATTTAAAATCACAGCTGGGTTTTTTTTGTTTTGTTTTGTTTTTTTTTTCCCTGAATAATAGTATTTAAATTAAAATATGCTTTCCTACTAAAATATTTTCTAAAAATTCAGAAAAAAAAAGTATACCTCCCCCAAAACATTAAAAAACCCAGACTCCAAGAATTATTTTCCCAGGAAATAAATAATTTTCTGTTCAAAGACATAGTTTATCCCTTTACCTACACATGCTTCTGACCATACCACCTCTCCTCTCATTCCCTAACTGAAAGAGAATGGACACTACAGAGAAAATCTTTGAGTACAAGGCCCTGTGGCTTTATTTCAAGCAATGTAAAGCTCTCTTTGGACTACATGGGCATTTACATACAGAAACCAAAATGTTTCCTTCCACCACTCAGGATCTAAAGTTTTAAAGATGTTTCTGATGCAAGACCAGCAGATGAAACCTTTGTTTTTTCACTGCCTTAAGTAAGGCATCCACTGTCACATATGGATTAGTGTGCACATTCCAGCTGATCTGTAATGAAGTTTAAATGCCTAAGGCTATAAATACATGACTAAATGTCTAAAAATGTCTGAGCAGGTTAAGTATGCAATTTCTCTTAAGAGAAGTTCATCTAAAAAAATCTCACAAAGCTTCTAATAGATTTTTTATCAATATGATACCAATTATATTTACATTATGATACAGAGTAAAAGGGGGTAATTGGTCTCTTGGGAAGGCTGAGGAGAGAATGTAGCATCCCAAAAGGTATTTACAAGAGAATAAAGTGCATAACAGCCTTTATTCACACACTTAAAAGTCAGAATTTGCTGCTTGTTCTCAAATAACTTCCAATTTTGAAGTTAACAATTACTCACATAACAATCCCATATCTTCAGTATCAAATGGTCTTTGTCATGTTCATCTCGGATAGAAATCTATTAGTCTTGGCTTCATAAGCTAAGTTGACTTTTTTTCTACATTCAAAGCAGGGCTGAGTTTTGTACTGAAGAGAGGAAGGAAACATCTTTCAAAAAAAGAATTACAGCATTTGAGATCCTGCAGCTGTCTTTTTCTTTTCCTTTAGTTTTCCTCCCTCTAGATCTATTTTTACTTTTTTTCCCTCTCTCCCAGACAGTAAAGGAATTGATGAGACTGAGAATTTACCTTCAACATTGGCTGCAGTTCTGCTGTGCTTTTCAAAATCTGTATGGTCACTAATTATTGCCAGAGGAGTTTTAGGTTTGGGTTTTTTCCCCTTTTTATTTTCCCTGTATAATTTAGTGGTGATCAAACTATGTCAAGGTAAAGGTCATGTCCTACTTGCAGAGTTAAAGAAAAAGATTTTGAACAAAATATTTACAATATTTGTTTTTCTACATTACAGATGAGCAAGAGGTGGACAAAAAAATAAGGTGGACCAAAAAAAAAAAGTGATGACTTGAATGTCATTAAAGAAAAAGAAAATTCAGAGAAATAAGGGAAGTTCAGGGAAGGAAAGTTCAGGGAAGGAACTTCAGGGAAGTTCAGGGAAGTTCAGGGAAGGGAAGGGAAGTTCAGGGAAGGGAAGGGAAGATCAGGGAAGGGAAGTTCAGGGAAGGGAAGTTCAGGAAAGTTCAGGGAAGGGAAGGGAAGTTCAGGGAAGTTCAGGGAAGTTCAGGGAAGTTCAGGGAAGTTCAGGGAAGTTCAGGGAAGGGAAGGGAAGGGAAGTTCAGGGAAGGGAAGGGAAGTTCAGGGAAGGGAAGTTCAGGGAAGGGAAGTTCAGGGAAGGGAAGTTCAGGGAAGGGAAGTTCAGGGAAGGGAAGGGAAGTTCAGGGAAGGGAAGGGAAGGGAAGGGAAGGGAAGGGAAGTTCAGGGAAGGGAAGGGAAGGGAAGGGAAGTTCAGGGAAGGGAAGGGAAGGGAAGTTCAGGGAAGTTCAGGGAAGGGAAGTTCAGGGAAGGGAAGGGAAGGGAAGTTCAGGGAAGGGAAGTTCAGGGAAGGGAAGGGAAGGGAAGGGAAGGGAAGGGAAGGGAGGGAAGTTCAGGGAAGGGAAGTTCAGGGAAGGGAAGGGAAGGGAAGTTCAGGGAAGGGAAGGGAAGGGAAGTTCAGGGAAGGGAAGGGAAGGGAAGGGAAGTTCAGGGAAGGGAAGGGAAGGGAAGTTCAGGGAAGGGAAGGGAAGTTCAGGGAAGGGAAGTTCAGGGAAGGGAAGTTCAGGGAAGGGAAGGGAAGTTCAGGGAAGGGAAGTTCAGGGAAGGGAAGGGAAGGGAAGGGAAGGAAGGGAAGGGAAGGGAAGGAAGGGAAGGGAAGGGAAGGGAAGGAAGGGAAGGAAGGGAAGGGAAGGGAAGGGAAGGGAAGGGAAGGGAAGGGAAGGGAAGAAGGGAAGGGAAGG